CCACCTTTATGGAAATGTCCTTGCTTCTAATAAAGGTCTGAACTGTGAGTGACTGGCGCTTTGTTAGGTAAATTTGTTGGTGCCCAGCCAACACTGCCTGGAGCACTCTCTCAAGGAAGACTAGTCCTGGGAGTGGGGCAGGATCAGGGAGGGCTTCTCGGCCCAGATGACAATAGAGGAACCTGGAGAAATCTCTACTGTAACTCAGGGCAGGGTACCCAGTAAGCAAGGTAAGCCCCTGCTGACCAGACACCCTGCCCCTGCCAGGGACTGTAACTTTGAAGAGGCTCCGATTCTGTCGGAAGGTGGGGTAGGGTTGGGAGAGAGGCGGATGCCCAGCCATACCCAGAAGCAGAGGCTGTGATGGGGCAGCAAAAAGGTGAAATTGTTCACTACAGACTAGTGGGTAAGCACTAGCAAACCCATGCTTAACTTACCGTACATTCTCACACCTGCTAAGATGTCCCAAGATCGTGTTCTTCTAGATGCTTTCAAAAGCAATTGCAGTTGAAAAGGAAAACCCTAAAGTTCTTACGTGTTTCAACAGCGGGACCGGGGGCGGATTCCCCGAAGAGGACCTCTATGAGGGTGGACGCGGGGCCTGAATGGTACTTCTTCAGGGCAAGCAGAGCTCTGCCAAAGGAGAACGCTGAGGTCAGGAGCCGGCGAGAAGCAGCAATTTCAGGGCCCTCCACCGCCCTAAACCCCCACTCCAAGCCAGAGCCATCGACCATTGCTCCAGCCCCTGCCCTGCCCCACGCCCGAGCCACCGTCCCATCCTCTGAGCCCAGCCTGTGCTGAGCCCCTGGGCTGAGCCCCTGCCCTGTGCCAAGTACCACCCCATCTAGAGTGCCTGCCCCTGCCCAGGCCTGCCCCCACCCCACTCCATCCCACCCCGTCCAGCTCCAGCCCTGCCCCACTCCACCCCGCCCCACAGCCCCACTCCGGCCCACCCTGCCCAGCCCTGCCCACCACTGGTGGCTCACGCATTCAGTTGGGTGCTGCAGTTGCTTTGGGTTTGCTCAGCAGAAAACGTAGTGGGGAGTCAGATGTGCTTAAGGAAAATGTTACGTGTGATCTGAACACACACTCACCTTTTCAGTCGCTTGTAAGTGACGTCGTTGGCAAGTTTGAGCAGTCTGTACGAACCGTCTTGGTCCAAGCTCAACTGGAAATCAGGAGACTCATCAAAGGCCACCGTGATCGATTTCTGGGTGACCCGGGTCAGAATCCCTGAGGCCAGCTGACTGCTGTCATTAGCCGAGTCATACAGCCCCACTATATCACCTGCAAAAACAAAAACTCCAAGTTACATACAACATTGAAGAAAGTACAAATTATCCTCGGAATAAATTCCATTCTATTTCCCGTATTGTATCTTTGTTCATTTCTTGAAACAAATAAAATCAATCACAGTGAGAAAAACAATTAAGACCTAAGGTCTGGGTGGCACAAATGGTTTGTACTTAACTACTAACCGAAAGGTTGGCGGTTCAAACCCAGCCGACAGCACCGGAAAAGGAAGGCCAGGTGACCTGCTTCCCTAACGGTGACAGCCAAAACCCCATGGAGCAGTGCCACTCCGCAACACGATGAGCTGCAATCAACCTGCTGTCAACAGGCCTGGTTAAAAACCATATGAAACCCAGAATCAATGAGCTGTTCATACAAACAGGACAAGCAGTGAGACACTGAGAGCCTCAGCCAGGCACCGTGCTAGGCGCTGGCTCTGTACTGTGGACAGGGCCTCCTTGAAGATGTCACCGGGGAAGTACTGCAAAGACAAGGAGGGCACAGGAAGTGGGCGGGACAGGCCTCTCTGGGGGGCTGCCAGGTAAGCAAGCTGGGCCCCACCAAGTGAGGACCAGGTGCACGGCTTGGGGGGGACGACATTCCAGGCAGAAACGGGCTTGGATGGAGGACGGTGGCTATTTACTGCCCAGTCTGCACGGATCTCCCTCCTTCCTGGGATAACGGTCGGGTGACTCACCCATGGCCAGGTGACTCTGAGGGGCCTCACCCAACTCCAAGGACAGCACACAGGACCCAAGCCTATGGCAGCCATCTGAGCTCTGCGTGCCCCCGACCACAGTGAGCATGTCAGGGTGGGCTCATGGAGTAACCAAATGCAGCCCCTCAGAGACATGGAGAGAAGACCCTCCCTGACATTCCTGCCAGACCACGAGCCAAGTGGACATGGGGTAGAGGTGAGAAGTGCCCCCACAGGGCACCCAGAGGAGCACGAGCCAGGAAACGGAGAGAAAGTGGCCCCGGCCACAGCCTCCTCGGAGTCCTGGAGCAGGCCGCTCAGGTCTGACCGCATGGCTGGGGTTTTCCGTCACCCAGAGTCCACTCTGAGATCGCAGCCTTACATGCTCAGACTGCGTTCTCTGCTCACTCAGCCTGGGCGTCATCCTCCCCAATGAAGGTCACGCACTTGAACTGAATCCTGTCTCCTTCCCTGGGTTTCTAATGACAAACAGGAGGTGGCCACAACACTCCTGGGGGCAGCAGTGCGGTCTGAGGCCAGGGACCCTGTCCCGTGACTCTCCCAGCAGCTGCCCTGCGTGGGACACACCCTCAGGACTGTACTTCTGACCTCCTGAGCTTTATTACCGCCCCTCCAAGATGAAGATGACTCCCCCAGCATCTGATCAACAGCTGTAACAACACGCAGAAATTTCAGCTCTCAACTTGTCCACACAAACACCACTCCCTCCAACTCTGTTTATCATCAACTATTAACGCCTATCATCCACTCCACTAGTGCGTATTAAATGAACGTGCTGTTACCTTTGTGCCTTGTTGTTGTTGTTAT